CCCTAGCTTTTGACAGTAGATTTGGCCATATGGCCTGCTTTGTCCACCAGGATGTCAACAGTCAATGGCATAACCCAGAAGCTTGAAATGAGCTATAGCTCATTGTGGCTTTTTCTCTTCTATGTCTGCTATCATTGTGAGAAGAACGTGCCCAAACAGTTGATCCGAGAGAAAAATTGAGGGACATGTAAAATAAAGCCACCCCCGATGAAGCTAAGTCAAGATCAGTTGATTCTTCCCACCCTAACCTGCAGACATAGGGGTTAATAAAAATATATTGTTGTGGGGCACCCAGGTATCTCATTCGGTTAAGGGTCCTACTCTTGGTTTTGGTTCAGGTCATGATCTCATGGTTCCTGGGATTGAGCCCCAGGTAGGGTTCTGTGCTGATAGTGCTGAGCCTGCTTGGGACTCTTTCTCCCTGTCTCTCTGCCCCTCTCCCCCCCCCCCCATGAACTCATGCCTATTCTCTCTCTCTCTCAAAAATAAATAAATGAACTTTTTTAAAAAAGCGTATTGTGTGCTAGTGAGATTTTGTGGTTGTTTGTAATGTAACATTATTGTAGCAACAACTGATACACCCACCACAGCAAAAATTCACCTGTAGTTTAAGGGCTAAAACGTTTGCCTTGTTTTCTTAATAAGTAACAAGTAAGGGCTGTATTACATCCCCAATGCCAAAGACTTATTCAGGAAATCTATACAATGTTCTAAATCTCATGGGATACAATAGTAAAAGTGTATAATTGCAGCCATCAATCTGCACCTGTGAATTTTTCTCATCTAGGATCAGGTCAATGTGATTGCCCAAAGGTGACTATAAACTTTTCTTATGTGGCTCGAGATACAGTAAAACCTTGATTTGCAAGCAAAACTCATTCCAGAAACATGCTTGTAATCCAAAGCACTTGTCTATCAAAGCGAATTTTGAGAATTGCCTCAGTTGTGATCATGTGACATTCAGCATCACGCACTACTCGTATTGCCAGACATTGCTCGTTTATCAAATTAAAATGTATTAGAAATGTTGCTCGTCTTGCGGAACACTCACAAAACAAGTTACTCGTGATCCAAGGTTGTACGTATATCAAATCAGTAAAGAACTCTGAACCGCTGGAGTGTTGTTTGCCTAAGTACAGAGGAACTGGAATCACTGCATCTTTCCGTAATGTAAGGGACTAACAAGACCATTGGCTTATTGGTTTTCAATCCTAGCCAATCACCAGAGCTTTCTAAATTACAGATTCCTAGTCCCCATCTATAGATATTTAGTTGAATAATCTGACATAGGTATATGTGTTGTTAAAAAGTTCTCAAAGTAATGTTGATGATCACAAGAATTGGAAATGTCCCCCATCTAACAGAGTTCCTCCATTGATTGAATTTCTCATGCTGAGTTGCACTAAGCATTTGTGGTGATGTTAGCAGACCAAGAAGTGAACACAGGAGCACTATCTCCAGGTGACCACATGAATTCATTCGTTATTATTAGCGTAACAAACCATTCCAATGTTCAGTAGCTGAAAACAATATGCACTACTTATTGCTCCTGAGTCTTCGGATCCATTTGTGTGACCTCTCCTGGGCCAATTCACATGTCAGGTCAGCTGGCTGGTCCAGGATTTCCTCCTCACATATCTGCTCAAGACCACCATCAGCTGGGGATACAAGGGTCTCTGGGCCACAGCAAGTGGGTCCAGGAGTGTCCATATGGTGACCGGGCTAGATTCTAGGTGAGCAAGTAGAAGTGCGAGAGGCCGCTTAAGCCCTATGCTGGGGACTGGTACACATTCACCCTTCTACTTCTGCACATTCTATTGGTCAGAGTAAGTTACAAGGCCAAGCCCACATTCAGGGGCTGGGTAATTAGACCCTACCTCTTGACAAGAGGAGCTACAAAGTCGTATCACCAGACATTAGCTTCAAAGTCTACTATACAACCAAAGGGAGAAAAACGTTGCCTTAAGTCAAATATGATTTCTCAGTACAGGCCGAGGTTTTGACCCTAACTTCAAAAAAAGTTATACAATCGTTAGGGTGAAGTTTCATTCGATACTCCTCATTTCTACTCCTGCCTGCATTCACACACCTTACTTACTCCTCAAGACCTCGGTCTCATTCCTTTCAGCACTTTCATATTATCCTCTGAGGTTTTTAAAGATGATGTGGATGACATGCCATCCTTATGAGGACTTGTTCAGGGTGAGTCTTTCCATGATGTCTCTTCTTGGCTTAGGATGTGTCTACAGATGAAATGTGACCAAATGATCATAGGGCTACATCCTGCAAAGGACCCCACAGCATTAACCGAAGAGCACCAATGCCTAAGAAATATTACAGGAAAAAGATAACACACTAGACCAGAAAAGAGCCCTGAGGAGCAGGAAACTGGCACTCACTGAAGATTCCAGACCGAGGCTAATTATATTCTAGCCGCCAGCTGCTTCACTCCACTCCTACTTCACTTGCCGGTGTTTGATCACTTAGGAAGCGCACTAAAAGGGCGGTGACTGGATCAACAACCGTGCCCCTGACCCAGGCCCTAAGATGTATGCAGCCTGGGGGTATGTAGCAGCAACTTATTACAGCATCCCTACAATAAAGGTGTTCTTTCTGTTTTTTTAGAGAAACCACCCGACCTTTGGAAGTCTCTAAACACCTCCTTGTGAGATTTCGGACAGCAGGGGGTGGTAGGGAAAAGAATTCCAGCAACCAGGAAACACAGGATGGCAGAGAAGTGGCCAGGGCTGGGTAGTAGTGCGTGGAGGCTCTTTGGAAGGGATGTGGATACAAAGAATGGAAGGAGAAAGCATGTGCTGCTCACACGCAAGGTTGTCTTAAGTGCATATTTGGTCCCCAAGCATGTGGCCAGTCTTCAATCTGCTTGGTATCACTGCTCAAAAGACTAAGCAACAGGAATGGATGAAAAACACAATGAAATGAAAAGAAATGCTAAACTCACCAGAGAGATGCCTCAGAAAAGCCAAATTCAAGAAGGTATTGCGTTTAATTTAGTTTGAGAAAAAAACTCCATAAAGTTTTGAAAATGTGTGGACCGGCCATCAATAGGAGGAAATGTTGCTGCACCCCTCCAAATTGTCTTCCACTCCCGAGCACTTGATCGGGGAGTGAGGCAGGTATGGTAGGACTGGTGATGTTTTAGACCTGAACATGTAGGAACCAAACCGCAAACACTCGTGAAGGCTAGAAGCGCTACCAAGTGCGGTCAACTCTGCGGGTGGCTTGGAGTGGCATCCGTCTGTTTCTCAATCACAACTCAATAGAGTCGAAAATATAAACTTCGCATCCCAGGTAAAATTACCATAATCGTGCCCACCCTCACTAGGCAAAAAAAAAAAAAAAAAAAGTAAGTGACATTCTTGGATGGTCTCTTAATGAGCGGGCTGATTGGGCTGCAGTCAGACTATGCTTTTGATTAATTAGCCAAGAGGAAACCAAAGCTATAAGAAAACAAACTACTCATATGATCACCACAGGAACCTTGATAATGATAATGATGACGAATTACTCATTTCTTTTCAACAAAAGATAAAATGTATCGTCCGGAAACTCAGAAGTAGGGTATGCAATCTAAGAAGGGGATTTTCACCCTGCCTGTGCCCCTCCCCACTTACACACACACATGCACACACAACTTCATACCCTTCTTGGTACAGTACTTTTTACGGCTACTGTTTACCGCTGCTCTGAAAACCTACCTATGTGATGTACAGGTTGCTCCTTATAGAGAATCCTTAAGTTGCCTGCACAGTGGTGCCAAGAATGAACCTGTACTACATTCGCAGGGACACTCGGGCACAGGCCAAACTTCCACATGTGTCATGGGAGTGCCTCAGCTTTGGGCAGTTTCTACTGCAGTTTCTAAGCCATTCTCTTACAAAACCCCCTTAGCTCAGATGTAACCACAATACAATTCCTCAAGGCTAAAGGAATGGGGCCGTCTCAAATATACTATAGTGGTGTAGTTTCAAATTCACATTACACTTCTAGCTTTATCTTTCCTACAACCTTTTTCCTGAAATCTCCCCAGGTAGTAAAGTTTGGGCTAGGCCAGGAACCAGAGGCAGCAGTTTTATTCTTTCCCATGCCAGTGCAATCAATGGCTTGTGTTTAGAATAAATATTTGAAACTCAGAAGCCTGCTAACAATGCAGCACTTGATTACTCTGAATTACTCTCACCCACAGCAATTGAGGGAGAAGTCGTTGGCACCAGCCCCACGGAAAAAAAAAAAAAAAAAACCTGCTTCCCAGCCTCCTCCGTTTGCCTTCCAACCCTCCCCTCAAAGAAGTCTCAACACACTACACAAAGATCTCAGTTTTCTCCCTTAAATACCACATGAATCCCACATTGAACATCTGACTTTCTTCTTCCCACAGCAGCACAGATTTACTTCAATACTTTCATGTTCATATATATTTAATTAGACCAACTTATCTTGTAACTCTCTTATTCACACCCCTCTGCCAGCATCCTTCATTCAACACTGAAATCTTTTAAAAAGGGTTTTCTGTTTGCTCATTTTAAGACAAAATGTCATCTTGGTCTGTTCTAAAGCTATAGTAACAAGCTACTTCTCAACTTAGTCAGAGGTGCCCATGTATTAAAATGGCCACAATCCTTAGCACTTTCCTTCCTTCAAAAGCTATCTGGTAAATGCTATTCTTTGGGTTTCTTTTCTTTTCTTTTCTTTTTCTTCTCTTTTCTTTTCTTTTCTTTTTTTTTAGGAGGGCCAAAAGGGTAAACTGTACTAACCAGAAATAATTAGTATGTTAAGTTTTGTTTCAAGGCCGGACTAACAGGTTACAAGTTCTAATAAACCCTGCTGGGGGAAGACATTTCTTTGTCTTGGGACCACTGAGAGCAAACAAACAAAACACCTTTAATTCCATCAGAAACTCTCCCATCTAAACATAACTGAAAAGAAAAGCCAACACCAAAGCAAATGAACTAAGTGGTCCCGCTGCTGGCAGCCCTTACCATTGGGAGCAGAGGCCCCCTCCGGACCCCCGCAGGGGCTCTGGCTCCTCCTGGGGTGGGGTAAGGGTGGTGAGGGGTCCAGGACTTGGGTGCAGGTAGAGGTATGCTCCGTGCATGCTTGAACAGGACTCACCGCCGTCTGCCTGCCTGTCTGCCACTCCGTCCTCTCGTCTGGGTGGGAAGGGCCAAGATGAAAAAAAAAAAAAAATGTGCAGGTTACTCACTGGCCTTCCCAGGCGGGCACACCCAGGAGGAGGGAGAGGCCAAGCACAGACAGGGAGATTCTTCAGAGGCCATGCCTGAGATCTTGATTCTGATTCCTTTTGTTAATACTTCCTGAACTTTAAACCCAATCTGCACCAACATGGGTATTTTGGGGGAGGCCAATAACACTTGGGTAATTAGATTCCAAGAGCTTCATGCAAAGGTTACTTTGAAAAGGCAGTGCTTTAGTGCACGTACTTTTAAATTTAATCCTGAAATTTGTTTCCGCTGTGTTTGAGCGTTAACACTAGAACAGGAAATGAGAGTAAGGGGGCCACCTTGGTGCAGGGGCCTGGAAATGCCTGGAGCAGGCAAACCTGGGTGTGATTAAGACAGTGAATTTCTCTATCTTTTAGGCACTAAATTTTAGAGAAACAGGATTCTCAACAGTCTCCTAAAGTCTGTGAACCTTGCCTTGTATAAGAGACACAGGCTTGAAATAAATAGGTATCCAGAAATCAAGATTTTAGAAATGGATTCCCACTGAAAATGCAAGACCTTGTTACCTGATAGCCTGACTTCTGATAAATCCTGAAATGAAGCCTTTCATAAATGGAGGGACCCTTCAGTAATTTGTCCTTTTATCAGTAGAAGGAGGTGGGGAGATAGAGCCAAGGGTGAGGAGGACGGAACTAACCTTATTAGTATCGACTGTGGACGAGGTACTTCTCTTACCTAATCCTGAAAATGCCTTTCTGAGGGAAGTATTCTTCCTCTTTCACATGTGAGCACCCTGAGACTCTGAGGTTAGGTAGCCTGGCTAGGGCTCAGCCAGCTAGGGAATGGAAGACCCAGGATTTGGACCCAGGTTTGCTTGAATCTGAGACCCAGACTCATCCACCAGGTATGTCACCCACAGTTATGTCACCCACATTTCCTGGTATTCCACCAGGTATGTCCCCCACAATTCCTGAAGAAATAGTCACCTTTTCTCCTTTTGCAGTCCACCTAAGCCCAAGTTACCTTTTCTTAAATTTTTACATCAGTTCCAAAACTAATGTGCCGTGAAATACAATTCTGCAGGATATTAACAGGTGTAATAAAGGTTAAAAACAATGTACTGTATAGTTTTCTGTATGGTAGCTTTTCACAATCTTTAGCATAGGTACCATATATGGTACACCTCCAAGCTTGAGACTTAGTGTGCCACACGTCCTTTCCTGAAGCCTTTGTGAGTGGGAAAAGAGGATATTTTGGGTTGGGGAAACACTGTTCTAGAGATGGGTCACTGTTGTACTTTTCTCCCCCTCTGCTACAATCTGAATGTTAGCTTCCTTCCAAAATTAACATGCGGCATCCTAATGCCCAAAGTGGTGTCAGGAGGTGGGGCCTTTGGGAGGTGATTACATAATAAGGGTGGAGCCCTCATGAAAGGGATTCCAAAGGGGTTTCCACACACTTGCCTAGCCCCTTCCACCATGTGAGGACACAAGGAATCTTCCACCTACAAGAGGACCCCTGCCTGACCACGTTCCCACCCCAGTCTCAGATTTCCAGCCTCCAGAACTGTGAGAAATAAATTTCTGTTGTTTACAAGCTACCCAGTCTGTGGTATCTTGTTACAGCAGCCCAAGTAGACCAGGAAATCTTTTTTTTTTTTTTTTTAATTTATAAAAAAATTCATGACAAAAAAGTTCAAACAGCATACAAGGGTATAAAGGAAAAAGTGAGGATCTACCTATTCTTTGTAACCACCAGTCCCACTCCCCAGAGGTAAGCATTCTTAGAAATTTCTTAGGAATCTGCTTTAGAAATTTTTATGCATATGAAGCACATATGAACACCCTTTTTAAGATATCACAATTGGGATTAAAGCATACCCACAATGCGTTATTTGGCACTTCAAAAAATGTTAATGATAGAGTTGAGATTTTTCATATCAGCCTACAGAATTGCTACTGATAAATCAGAGAAAAGCAAAAGGAACATCTATAATATGGGATTACTGCTTTATAAAAGGGTCCCCTACCTGGGTCACAGTATACCTCAAGACTAGAAGTCACAATGCCCAGCCTCGCCTTCCGGTTCTGTGTAACTTCCACACTTGACATTCATGTATAAGATGGAAAGAACCTAAACCCTACCTCATATCACAGGTTGTCGTGAGGATCGGTAACAATGATGACAATGACATCCCAGCCACCATTTATTGAGCAGCTACTCTGTGCCAGGCATTTTTCTTAATGCCTTCTATGTATTAATTTAAGCCTTGCTCTCAGCAACCCCGTGAAGTAGGTATTACTATTAGACCCATTTTTACACATTGAAAGAGCCATCTCCCACTGCATACCCAGCACACAAGTGCACAATAAATGCTTGAAGTTGTATCAATTAAGTAAACATGATGTCAGCAACCTTGATCTTTGACACAATATACTCCTCACAGTGGCACTGTAAAGCGGATCCCATTTTTCCCTTAATAATGTTATAATTAAGGGTTCTGTTCCCAAACCTCACCTTGGCTTACTATAAATTCTAGACATAATAAAGTCTTATAGAAACACAGCTACAACAAATCTCATAATCATTCAAAACAGCGAAATGAGGTTCCATGGCTCAGAGCATTTGAGAGATTGGCTGCTACAACCCCTCCTCTTTATTGATCAATGAAATCATATCCAGAAAATATGTGGGTCTTCTCTAAGACCTTGTTACACTATCTCAGCATGAAACAATTTTTAATTGTGCATACATTTCAAACCCATGTGATTAAGGGACTCCAACATAATTCTATATGTATATACAAAATATACCGTATCACAAATCTGACACAACATTAATACATACGTTAGAACAAGCATCGAACATTTAATTAGAAGTAGCTTTCCCTGCCTCCTTAGAATTTTAAAGGTCATTTCAGGAATGGTGTGACTGACTCAGTTCTCCTAGAAAGACTAGGAATAATGTGAATACCATCTTATTCTCTCAATATATTTTCCTATAGAAGCCATAGGCCTTCAAAATTAGTCCACTGGGTACTTTTCCCCTACACATGGTGGTGGCAGCACTTCTACAGTTTGAGGCATCACCCCGGGCCTTAACTTTAGTTCAGGGTGCCCATGCTTTGACCCGATCCTCCTGTCCATCTCTCTCTCATTCTTTTCTTTTCTTTTTTTCCTCCCCATCTATCTACCTTCTCAAGCAAAGAAAGCCTTGACTCCTTCCCTCCTCCAGCTGTGACTCTCACACCCATATTAGACTCTGGTCAACAGCACAGTATTGAGAATGTGATAGGAGCTTATTCGTTTGGGGGGGGGGTATTTGTCCCCCATCCTGCCCTCTTAATTTAGCACAATCTTCACGTCCAATGCATTATTTCTTATTCCCAATTACATCCGGCCATGACCATCCACGAAGAAAGAAGTCTACGCCAGGAATGGATGGCGCAGCACTGCTCTGACATATGCATACACTTAAAAGACACAAAATGCTTGCTTCAGCTGCTCTGCAATCAGCAGTTGGGAAGGGGGCACCTGGGGGGCTCAGTCGATTAAGTGTCTGACTTCAGCTCAGGTCATGATCTCACAGTTTGTGACAGCTGGGAGCCTGGAGCCTGCTTGGGATTCTGGTTCTCCTTCTCTCTCTCTCTCTCTCTCTCTCTGCTCCTCCCCCACTCACAGTCTCTCTCTCTCTCTCTCTCTCTCTCAAAAATAAATAAACATTAAAAAAAAAAAGGGTTGGGAAGGAACAACAGTGCTCGATTGCATCCAAGACAGGGCTTGGGTCCCAGTTTAGTTATGTTCAGATGAAGTCAGAGGTCAGAGTTCCAGTTTCCTGGACTCTAAAGTGAGAATCATCTACCTCATAAGGCTGTGATTGAAGATTAACTGAAAAAAGTATGTAAAACATTTTGTAAATGGCACAGCACCACACAAATATCAGATAGTGACCAACACGGCTTCCGGCTCTCTAAATGTGTTGGCGGTGGAGCACGATAATTGCTTTAAAAGAGGAACCAAGTTGTTTCTGTTCATCATCTCCCACCACATGGCCTACTCAGCTGCTGTTCCCAAGGGAGGTCCATCACGATATTAACTGGCAGGTGAGCATAGATCCAGAAGAAAACAGACCAGCTTAATTTCATGTGGACACAGACGTTTTCCTCCATTCTTGCTTTATCAGATTTTCTGAACTACTTCCTTTTAGCATAATTATAAACCTTTTTGCTTTAAGCCTTTAAACTTTTTGTTATAGGGGCACCTGGCTGGCTCAGTTGGTTAAGTGTCCGACTCTTGATTTTGGCTCAGGTCATGATCTCATGGTTCATGGGTTTGAGGCCCACTTCGGGCTTTGTGCTGACAGCACTGAGCTTGCTTGGGATTCTCTCTCTCCCTCTTTCTCTGCCCCTCCCCAGCTCACACACATGCTCTGTCTCTCTCTCAAAATAAATAAACTTAAAAAAAATCTTTTTGTCATAAAAAATTTCAAGCATATATAAAAGTGGAGACAAAGGTGTAACAAACCTCCATGTATACATCACCAGCTTCAACAATTACCAACTCATTCACATCTTGTTTCACCCATTTCTCTCCCCATTCTGGATTATTTGGAAGCAAATTTTCAGTATCATATCATTTTATCCATATACATTTTTGCAGGTATCTCTAAAAGATAAGGATTCTGTGTGTAAACATAACCAAAAAAGATAAGGATTCTGTGTGTAAACATAACCAAAATATTACATCAAAACTAAACTATAATTACTATATTACTGTAATCCAATATCTGGTTAGTGTTTAAATTTCTACAAATCTTTGAAAGATTTTTTTTTTTTTGTACTTTGGTCAAATCAATTAGGCAACTGGTAGATACATGTTGTCTTTTCTAATCCAAAGTTTCTTCATCCATCTTTATTTTTTTTTCCTTGCGATTTATTTGTTAAAGAAGCTGGTTCGTCATATAGACTA